CCCCCCCCCCCCCTTTTTTTTTTGTTCTCCCTTGGGTTGTGATATTTGTTTCGTTGCAGTTCTTTCGTAGCAATAGCTCTCAATCCCGTGCCACACGAGTACACCGGTACCAACCTCCTGTTTCGTTGTTCTTCTTTTTTTGTCCCTCGCCTTGGATGCATGAGGGCAGATCGGGCAGTCCTTCTCGACCCTCTGCTTCAGCACCTTGAACATCCCAATGTTCTGGGGTGAGTGAGCTGACGCATCAGGTTGGGACAGGATGAACCATGTGTGCGCTTATGAGAGGTCCATATCTCGCGGTGGCTCGTGTTCGTCGCGACGGGTCGGTGTGTTGCTCGGTAGTATTGATTTTACCGCCGTGGAAATACCGCCATGTATTTGTTATACCGCCAAACATGTCCCATTCCTTCCGCGCGTGCTGTATCCTTCGTAGAGATGGTGACGTACGTAGCAGCTTTAAGTCTCCACCGTATCTCGTTGCCTCAGCGCACTTTGTGGTCGCTGACACGTCGCCCTCGCCGCCGGCAATGCTATAATACAACACTTTACGCCGTTCATTACTATCTATCGATGAGCTCGTGTTTTGCGTTTTTCTTTTTCGTCTCTCGATTGCCAAGTTACTTACTGCTGCTGATGCGTGGTCCTTGTCGATGATTTTGGTTGTGCCGTGTGGCAGGCATGCCTTCTCTCCCGGTTAACCTGGGGCCGTTCGCGTCCCTGGCGATCGCACAAGTCGTCATGCCCAGGGCGGCCTTCCTTGGGTAAGGAGGAGGAAGGAGGGAAAAAGAAAGGAACGGGGTGTTTGTGGAGATTGTGGGAGAGGAGCGGGGGGGGTGGGGAGGAGAGGGTACACATAGGGCATCGGAGGAAGAGAAAGACTAGGACAGAGAGAGACAGAGATAGATAGCACAGATAGAGGGATGGAGAATTGGCCGATGGTGGGCTTCGACCGATGACGAATACCTACACCCATGTGTACATAGAATTTCTGGTCGACCCTCAAGCAGAAGTCCGTGGGGCACAAGCTGCTGGGAGACACGCAAAGTTCCTCTCGGTCCAACGCCTTCCTGGTGGTCGAAAGCCACACGTGTGCTGTTCCGGCTCACCAGCTTGAGTATGTCAGGGATACACACATGTTGGTGTTGTTTGTTGAGTCTGTTTGTTGCCGTAACGCCGCCACTGCCGGTGCCGCTACTCTCGTCTCGGCGGTACCCGTGGCCTGCATGCCTCAGCCTTCACCCCCACTCAACGCCCTCTATTATCTCAACCCTCCCCCCCGTCCGCGAAACGCAGCCACTTGTCGGGTATTTTCATGGGCTACTTGATGGCCTGGGGGTTCCTTGGAGGTCTCTCCATCCCTCTCCTTGCCGGCATCTCGGTGATTTTCATGCTCCAGCACTCCAAGGCCTGGGCACGCAAGATGCCGGACTTCTCTCTGCTGCTCCAGAGCTGGGCGGGGGGCGACGCGGGAAGGGTCGCCCGCGCACGGAGGATGGGGTATGCCTTCGCGGCCCACGTGTGAGTCACGGGGCCACGGTCGTTGTTGTTGGTGTTGTTGTTGGTGTTGTTGGTGTACTGTACCTGAACAGCACCTCCGCGCCGCCCCCACCCCCCTGCGTGTTAGTCATGTTGGTTGTTGTTGTTGACGTTGTTTTTGGACTTCAAGATCACGCCCGCACCGACCCCCCCCCCGGTGCCAGCTTCTGGCTCATCCTTGGTAAGGCAGCCCATGCCGCAAAAACAACCCGACTTTTTCGCTCCGTTCTGTCATCGTAGGGATGCGAGGTCTAGTCTAGTGCCTATCGCATGCGTACCCCGCCCCCTCGCTTGGTTGATCGGGATGATGATGCCTGTACAATGGCCGACATACCTACAGCATCCATGATAACGACGTACCCCCCACACACCCACACCCACCTCCCCTCTCACGTCCCGCCTTGTGCGGCGGAACTCCGCCCTGCTATACCAATCATACCAACGGAGGTGTCCTTACCGTAGGAAGACACATAGAATCTCCGACTTCTCTTCGACTGTTTTGTTGTTGTTGACTCGCCGTCCTCGACCCTCTCCCTCTCGTGTGGTACGTTTTCCTCTCCGATTTTTTTTTGGCTTGTTTTGCTGCACTTATCGTCCTCGACCCTCTTCCTCCCGTGGTGTTGTCCGCTCCGACCACGATATGTTTTTGTTTTGCTTGCGTACGCTTGTCATCACGTGTCAGGTGCCTGGCGGTAGCGTTTTCTTTGCTCTTTTCCTGGGGCTCGGCGGTGGGGGAGGTAATGGCGCTCGTCGTCGGCTTCAATGCTCTGCAGGCGCTCAAGTGCTGCTGCTGCCCCGACAGGTGTGGGATGGGACCCTATAATGCCGTTTCGCATCCCGCTTTTGTTCAGTAGCCTTGGCAGGGTTTTTGTGTTCAGGAACATGTTGGATAACGCATACAATCGGGGAAGTTGAGTTAGGCTTAGGGATAGGGAATAGGGTTTGCGTACCCCCTCCCTCTTCTATTTCCTTACAACACTGAATTTCCCGCGAAGGCGGTCCCTTTTTGTTCGAGGGGGGGGAAGTGCTCATAGCCGTGCATGCCGTAGTCCTCGTATGTAGCCGTTTATGGCCGTATGTAGTCGTTACACCATTACCGTCGCATCTCTAAATTACCGGGACTGATCGATACGCCGTGTTTTCACCGGAGGTTGAGGAGGGCGAGCGGGCCGGTGGTCTGCACATTGGGCTGAGAGAGCTTGCTATTTCAAGTATCAACCAGTATGCATAGCCTGATGTTTCTTTTTTTTGTTTTTGTTTCGAGGGGCCGTCGCAAAACGGCACCGACGCTAGGGCGCAACGCGTGGGGTGAACGAGTTGTCTTTTTTGGTCGTGTCTCGTGGTTCGTTGGTGGCTCCTCCCCACGGCTGTCATCATGTGTTGATTGCCTTTTCAGGTCCTCCGACGAAGTGTACGTCTCCCATTCGTTAACTGTACATCTCGCCATCGTTGGCTGTACATTTCCCCTTCGTTGACTGTACATTTCGCCATCGCTGACTGTACATTTCCCCTTCGCTAACTGTACATCTCGCCATCGTTGACTGTACATGTCCTCTTCGTTAACTCTACATTTCGCCATCGTTGACTGTACATTTCCCCTTCGTTAACTCTACATCTCGCCTTCGTTGACTGTACATCTCGCCTTCGTTGACTGTACATCTCGCCTTCGTTGGCATTCGCTCTTTGTGCCGCGGTGGCTGTGCTGTACTGTGCTGTGTCTTGTTTTGCCAGTGTGCCGGCGGAGCACCGTTTCTGTGTCAATCTTCTCAAGGCCTATGGGGCACTAAGCGCGATCCTGCTCGTCAGCGACTTGCTCTCGTTTGGTGCCATTTTGGGCCAGGTGAGACTAACTGCTGTGCGACGTTGTGGCATGGCTTCTGCTTCTGCTGGTGGTGCTTTTGCTGGTGTTACATTTGTGAGCGCAATTTTCCACCCCTGTTCCGGTGAGAACCCGGCGTGCTTCGTCCCGGCTTTGTAGGGATGCGAGGTAAATGGTCTAACTACTACGGCATGCACGACTATGAGTACACCCCCCCCCCCCCCCCCC